ACTTAAATTTATGGGGATACATGGCTCAATAGAGCTGTGACTCTCTGTCAGCCTGGCTACAGTGCTGAAGAGGAACCTGGGGTTGTTCTTTTTTTCTTCTATTAGTGCTGATAGGCTGCTCTGGCATTACGGAAGGCCTTTCTATATATTTTAAGGGTGAACAGAGGTCAGAGGTCACCTGGTGTTCATGTTTAGTTCAGTTAAACTTCCTTCAAATATGATAAAAGTAAGAAAAAGAACATATGAACACAATCATGTTGTTTCAATGTTTATGAATGAAAGTAAAAAAAACCCAAACAGCTACATTAACACAGTGCACAGAGGCCAGGGGCCAAATTCATCAACATATCAGGGGCTCCTGACTGACAGTGTAAAAAGAAACAGAATGAAAATAATCATGATCAGTTTTAACTTTGAGTCACAAAAGATTTTAGTTTATTTCTCCAGTTCACCTGATGAACCTGTTTTATGTTACAAACAGAAACTCACAAACAGTCCAGAAACAATCAGACAATCAATTGACCAATCAGATGCTTTGGCTTGTCTGCAGATTTTAGTTTGTTGTACATTTTTTAGATTGAAGGTGAACATGAACCTGCTGTATGTTGTTACTGTGTGTGTGTAACTGTGTTACTGTGTGTGTGTGTAACTGCGTGTGTGTTACTGTGTGTGTGTAACTGTTTGTGTGTTACTGTGTGTTGCTGTGTGTGTGTTACTGTGTGTTGCTGTGTGTGTGTTACTGTGTGTTACTGTGTGTGTGTAACTGTGTTACTGTGTGTTACTGTGTGTGTTACTGTGTGTACTGTGTGTGTGTTACTGTGTGTTACTGTGTGTGTTACTACATGTGTTACTGTGCATAACTGTGTGTGTTACTACATGTGTGCTGACGTCTTATATCTGACGGCGGTTGGTCCTGGATCGTCTCTTGGACGTTCGGTTCCTCACCAGAGCTTTCGGCTGAGGAATGATTGGTTGAGGGGGCAGGGCGGGGCTTTGAGGAAGGTGGGCGGGGCTGTGATTGATGTGGGCGGGGCTTTGTGGCAGGAGGGCAGGGCTCTGAAGCTTGGCTGAGCGAGAGCTGAACTTTTTCTTCCCTCCTTCTTCAGAATCAGAGCTCTCATCATCTGTAAGAAAGCAGTTTGAAACAGTGTTCAGTATTAAAGTAATAAAAATAATTTAAAAAAAAATCAATAATAGATAAACTAACCAAATCTCAACTCTTATTTCTAAATGTTATTTCATCATTCTTATTTTCATTATAACAGAACTGTATTGGATATGTCTTAAAATGTTCAAATGTCTGTTTTTCTGCTATTTTTTGTTAATCTCTTTAAAATGATATCTGCATGTGAATGCAGATAGTAATTTAAAAAGCTAATGAAAAGCTAAATTGTACTCAAACGATGGCCTGTTCCTTCCACCTCCTTACCTTATCTCCAGGCAACCAAAGCTGCTCAAACATGATTGGTCAATACTACTCAGACAACAAATGGAAACACTTTTGATGCCCAAATCTTGTTCACAGATTCTGTATTCATACTTGTTTTTCGAGATTAATTATATAGCAACGGCCTGTACATAAATAATAGTATGTGCAGTCTGGTTGGTTGGTGTTCTGCTGTACTGTGTTACATGGTGTGCAGGGACAGGATTTTAGTAGTACTTCAGCCCATGTTTTTTTCTCACCATCTTCTTCCTCCACACTGTTTGCAGCAGCTGCAGCAGGTTCTGACATCAATAAATCAAGAAAAGTAAGGGGTTATAGGATCAGTCAATGAAAACACATATTAAGAGGAAAGAGAAGAAGAAGAAAGTAGAAGTAGAAGAAAACAGGACATACCAGGTGCTGTCACCTGATTGGCTACTGGAGCTACAAAAAAACAACATGAAATCAAATGCATGGATGATAAAAAAATGAATTTATACATTGATTACTAGTATTGATGTTTGTGTTGTTTGTTGTTATTGACTGTTTTCTTTTACATTATTTTTCATACTGGTTTAAAGTGTATCTCTGTTTTCGTTGTCTAATGTAATCTCTGTTTAATTGAAAATGAGGGTTCTCACCTCAATGAATCCTGACAAGTAAATAAAGGTTGAATGAATTGCAGTTATCTCACCATCTGCAGTCTCTGAGCTGGAACTGCTGGTATCTGAAACAGATCAATACAATGCTCTGATGGATTGGATATGGTAAATATGCTGCCAAGCTGCTGGTTCTTTATTCAGTTTATTTATCCTGAAAGTAAGATCATCATCATCATTGTCATCATCATCTTCCTACCTGAAGGTCCTCCTCCATAATACTGGGATTCATCTGGAATCAATCAGTTCAAACAAATAGTATTTAGAATAGTGTTGATATTGAATCTGTAAATGTTCATCAGTTCTGGATTTAGTCTCAAATATTAACTAACATAAGTTTTATAATAAACTGAAGCTGGTGAAGGTTCACTGTCACAAGGTGTTATGGGAATATTTAACAAATAATGTTATTGTACTATTTAGACAATAATTAGTAATTAGATTTGTTTATTTCAGTTTGCCTCAGTAATAAATACTACAGTTGAAAACACATTAACATAACAATAAGGTGGAGGCTACCCTACATCATTTTGACCCTCAAAAGGTGATATCCAACAACTGAATACACACAAAGTCAAAATGTAAGAAGGAAGAGGGTTATTTATCAAGTTCAACCACTAGATGTCAGCGTAACACAGAAAAGAAAACATTATATATTAATAATGTGTGTTTGTGTTGTTGGATGCTGCTGTCGTTAACCCCTCTGTTTCTAAACTTTTTAAACTTTTAATATTTTAATATTTAATTTATATTTTGAAATGTCTTTGAATGACTCATATTAATGGTTTAATAAGCATGAACATTTATAAATAATATCTCTAGACACATGTTTTTGTTTTTTAAAGTAATTTTTTT